CCCCGAGGGCTGTGTGAGGGTGCCGTGAGGCGCTTCCCGGTGCCTGTTCTGCGCTCAGTGTGCTGGTGGTTCCAGCGCGGGTGGGACTGTGTCCTCTGCTGTGTGTTTATTTAAGTGCACGGGGGAGGGTGTGTTGGTGTATTCTAGCTCAAATGTATTAATTTTACATTAATATTTATCTCTGAGTATAGATAAATTACAATTATAATATAAATGTGGTTAGTGAGTTGCAGGGGAGCAGAAAACACCACCAAGATGACATTTTAGTAACTACCCAAGCCCTGCCTTTCCCCCCAGACCAGGCTCTGTCTGTCGGACCTGCCTGTGCCTTTATGAATGAAACGAACATTCTCGTTTAGCTGATTATTATTTTTTTGGTCATACATGGTTTTCCTTGTCATTTTTATGCAGGTTGGCTCTGAATCTGTTGCACAAGAACCTACCAAAAGTTGAGCCCCTCCCTCAGGTGAAGCTCCTGCACACGACCGTGGCTCGGAGAGGTCTGGAGGAATTCTTTGATGATCCAGCAAACTGGGGAGAAAAAAGCGTAAAGTCTGGTGAGTTACATTTACCATTTCTATAATGATCTTTGAGCCACTTGTGCTCAGCTGAAATCTGACCTATCTTTCTGCATCAGCGGGAGAATTCATAGCCACAGGACACTTATTTTTATATGTATACACTGTACGTACATCTACGTGAGCATCTTTATGCCTGTTAATTTTTTCTGTGTGTTTTCAGTGTTTATGAAAGCAAATAGCTATTGTGCAGCACAGTGTTCTGCTGTAAATCCTCTGCCTTGCTCTGAAGTGAGAGTGTATCACAGGAGAGATGTTCTGGGATGAAATACATGGTGCTGTGGAAGAAAAGTAGTTCAGCGTAAAGGTTCACCCTATAGCTTTCCCTCTTCCCACACTGTTATAAACACAATCACTACATGTAATTGCCTTTTTTTATGTATTTGTATTTTTAAGGCAAAGCTGAATATCCCTAAGGTCAGCTACTAGTGCTATTTTTTTTTTCAGTGACCCCTGTTCTGTTGAGTCAGCTGAGCCTGCTAATACAGGTATTTCTTTCTCAGAATAAGAGGACTTTGTTGTACTAAATTGATTATTTTTTCACAGGGGATGCATGGAAAATAAATCAGCTAAGGGACAAGAGCAGTGAAGACTTGCACAAACTTTGGTAAGTAAGTTTTAGTGAAGAAGCTTCTCTTCTTTCAGGGCAGCTCTGCACTTTTAATTAAAATGTGTCTGGTGAACTCATGAACAGGAACTTTAAGTCTGACATAGAGCTCTGCAGGCTCCTGGTTTGGGCTTGGAACAGCCCTAGTTCTGGCACGTCTCATGACACAGAGGCTGCACTGCTGGTGGCTGTGGGATAGTTGTGTCCAGCATAAAGGACACAACTCTCAGTTGTGTCCACAAAGGACTCTCAGTATGAAGAGGCTGAGTTTGAACCCTCTGGGGGTTGTTTGGATTGGACAGACTTGATTAAGTGCCTTCTGGTGGGGATGGCCATCAGATCATGGTGCTCAGATCTGCATCCAGTCTGATACTGAAAGTCTCTGAGGCTGGAAGTGGCATCCCCACTCCAGGCAACCTGTGTCAGAGCTTAATTGTTACTGTGGATAGTTTTTTCCTTCCTATAGCTTGTATTTCTATAAGAAGAATACGACTGGCTCTGTCCACGTAGTGTACTATTTAGTGTTAACCACTTCCCTCCTGAGCCTTCTTTATTCCAGGCTAAAACCTGTCTCCCACAGCCTCTCGTTGTATGTCCTGTGCATCTGCCCTCCCCTCCCACCTCTACTGGGCTTTCTCCAGTTGGTCAGGATATTATTGCTTCTTCGTATGAAGCCAGTAGGTACAGGATATGGGATTATGCTTTGCTCTGTCCAACAGGATGATAAGTGAATGGCTGCTAAAGTAGTCAGAAGATATTGTTGATTT